TGTTGTGTTGCATTGCGAGGGGAACGGTGCATTTGAAGGCCCTGTTGCATTCAAATTGGTGGCACGGTATTAATAGATTTATGAGACATGAAGGACCCTTATATAAACCAGGAAATACACATCAGAAGGAGGTTCCGCCCAGTGCCACTTATTCTATTTTCTTTTCAATCTCAGTCCTTGTCAGCACGTGGGTGGACTCTGAGTGTGTACTTGTTAGCTCGGTTGTGGTTTGATGCATATAGCCCGCTATTGTTAAACACAGTATTTCAGTCTGTAATGATAAATATAAAGGAAGGAAATCAGCCATTATATTTTCATAGTAACTGTTCCCACACGTCCTACTTTCCCTGAGGAATAATTCACTCAAAGACTCAAAGCTAATATTTAAAGAAGTTCAATTAAAGCCATTAAGTCATTCTTTTCAGAGGAGAATGAATGTTAGAAATGTGCGTACTTATGAAACATACAATTACTGAAATATTTTTACTTAACCAATGCCGTCGTTTGATATCCCTATTCCCAACTTGTTATATGTAGCAGTTTAGCTTCAAGGCCCAGATTATAAAAGTGGTGATCTCAGTGCAACTTTAGTTTCTAGAGTCCTAACTCAAGTTGTCATGTAATTTATTAAGTTTACGTTTTATTCAAATTTCTTTTTCAAATTTGAGAATAAATCTCAAAAACTTAGTAACATGTGGTGTGCATTTTTTGGGGAAATATGAGTCCTGGAATAGTCAGTAGACAATCATCATTCAACTTTAGACTAAAAATAGAGAAAAACGATAATATCGCAATTTAAATTGAATCAGCATCCAAAAAATCATAGAAGAATCAAATTGTTAGAAAAGCATATTGTCCCAGCCCTAAATGGCAGTAAATTAAACTTCTAATAGTCAGACTAACACACCTAGATAGCATCGAAACGCCCAGTCAGACTGAAACTGGACTAAGCATCCAGTATTGGTTTCATTGGTTTGTCACTTTTGTACAGAAATTTCTCCAGATTTTCTGAGTCTTTTGGTGACATAATGGTCTGCAGATGATAAAGTCCCAGAATTCTTTGCAATCTACACTAAGGAACGTAATTCTACCTTGCACAGTCACTGCATTAGAATAACCGTATTGGCCTCCTATGTCAAACCACTGGTAAGCCCGTTCATGGCCCAATCACAGCATCAGAGCAAAATAAAAAATACAATTTTTTTATTTTGTATTAACTTGATGAAGTACCATTTGTGAGATAAAGCCTAATTGTATTCCACATTCCTGTTTAAATTACTCCATACAATACAGTCTGTGTGTCTGCTCCAGTGTTTATAGATCCCCTGCTTTTATCCCTGTGAAATCTTGGGGATATTTGCTCATGTTATTCTGCTAATACTACAACATTTTTCTTAATGCTGCACTCTGTCAAAGCGTTTTGCATTTGGTAGCTGCATTGACTTGTTATGTCTGCAGGGACTCATAAAGTTTCACCTCCTGCCCCTACACTAACTCCTACATACCGCTTCTGTAAGTGAGAATATGTTCTTTTTCTGACTGCCAAGTTAAATAACCCTTTAAACTGTATTATGTATTAATGAAGACAAATGGCTCTGTGTTTGAGCTCCTCTCTCTCCCTCTTTCTCGCTCTCTCTGTTCCTCCCTGAATCTGCCATGTTTGGTTTGGTCTCCAGGCACCAGGATCATGTTTGACAGCGGCTTAGAAGGAAACAAAAAATATCTCTGCACTCAAGGTGCTTTGGAGAGGTTGAGTCCTGTTTGTTCACCTGTGTTGTGTTGTGCCTTTTGGGTACAACAATCACTGCAGTGTCTGCTTGAAACATTAGCTTAGAGCTCTTGTAAGCCAGACTAATTACCATTAAAGACCTCCACTGGAGGAGACGATCACATGTTGAGCTGCACGTGGTGGTTCAAGTTTAGCTTTTGGCAAAGTTAGGAAACATCGGTTTGGTTTGAAGTTGGGGATGGTTTCATTTCAAGTGCTTAATTAAATTGTGACTATTTTGCATCCTTCGATCAAGTCCCTTCAAGAAGAGCAAAAAACTGAAGGGTTTCAGACTAATTTGCCCTCTGGAAATTGGCGTGACCTTCAATGATCAGCTAAAGAGTCAAAAAAAAAAAGGAAAGTTGGGATGTGGGGTAACATGTCATGTTTTACGTTTAGGAGCATAAGAGACCAGTTTCTGGAGCCGTGGAGGTGTAATGTTCTATTCTTCAGGTTTTCAGCTCTTCAACAGTTCTGAGTCTCCTTTGCCTTGTTGTTTGAGTCATTATACATGAAATATGGCAGTAGCGGCAGTAGCTCAGGAGGTAGAGCGGTCGTCCAATAACTTGAAGGTTGGCGGTTCGATTCCCCTCACTTAACCCACCTTGCTCCCAGTGTGTGTCCTCCACTGGTGTATGATTGTGAGTGTTATGTGGTGGTCGGAGAGGCTGTAGGCACAAACTGGCAGCCACGTTTCCGTCAGTCTGCCACAGGGCAGCTGTGACTACTAAGGTAGTTTACCACCACCAAGGCATGACTGTGTGAGCGAATGATGTATCCAGTGTGAAGTTCTTTGAGGGTCTCTGATAAAGCGCTATATGACATCTGATGCATGATGATGATGAAATATTTTTAGTGGATGGCAAACAGGTCGGCCAGAGCCAAAGAGCTGCAATACATGCAGAATGACATTTGATGTTGTCTTGTGTAGCTAGGGCTTTAAAAAATATGAAAATGTCATCAATGAAAATGTCTGGATGGCAGCATATGTTACCTGTGAATATATTTATATGTTGATCAGCCTTAGTGATGCATTCCCAGATGGGTATGATACCCATGCCATGGTGACTCGTGTTCTTTGGATACCCATACATGTTACTGACTTATCATAAATTAATCTATCTAGTTGGGAGATTAACCACAGCGTGTTATTCTGCATTTTCTTTGCATTTACACCATTTTTTGCGTTTTGTTTTTTGTCAGCATATTTTTGTTGTCACACTTTTATCGATTAAAATAAGCGCTTAATTACGCCCAAAACCTTCAGAATCCCCTCTGAACACAGTGTCCCATCTTATTTGGACACAGAGTTGCGTACTGAAATCTATAAAACTTGCATGTGGAGATGTAGAAATCAACAGGAGTGCGGAAAGCCCCAAAACCATTTTCTCAGGGATCCCCCACCCCCCAAATTTATGTTTTTCTGTGTCACTGACCCATGAATAAGCTCCTTTCCCCCCTCTTAAGCTCTATTAAGTCCCTCCTTATATCTCCCTGAATTTAGATATTCTGTCTGCTTGAATCACAACTCTCGATTAAACTCCCATGTGTCGTAAACAAATTCCTTAACAGCTCTAAAGGGAGAGGAAACAAAGGCAACCTCAGCCCAGTTTTGACACGCTCCAAACTTTTCCGAATGATGGGAACAAGGAAAGCATGACAAGGGGAGCATGACGGAAATCAACTGACTTCCAAAGAACAGGGACGCTCTTCAGATAAAAGCATCCTGTGTTTCATCATCATCGTCTCTGATCAGCAGAGACACATCGAGTATGAATAGCGACAGTTATTTGTTTAACCTCTTTGTGTTGCCAGGGAGTTTTGGAAATGCCAAGTATGAAATCCTCAGTTGTGTTGTGGACTTGTTTTCTGGTCGTTGCAGTGGTTACAAGTGTCTTTAAGGGTTCCAGCTATCATAAAATTATTTTTACCAACGGGCCGAAGCTTGTGATGAAAAGTTTTCAAAACTTTCTCAAGGGTAGTTTGTGTTCAGTTCTGCACAGCCTGAACATGGATACATGAGTATCTGACCGTGTGTGGTAGAGTAAGCAGTCAGATCGTACTGAGTGGGACACCTGTTCATTCATGTGGTGAAGATCTGATGTTATTTCTGTCATGTACTGTAAATCTGTCTCTCTGCTTTTAAATCTATTTATAACCCCTGATGATGTGCCAAAAACACATCTCCATGTGTCGTCAATGTAATGCACAATAAAGTTGTCAGATTTACAGGATGAATGGATAAATGATGAAGAGGATGGATGTGTGATAAATTAGAAATGTAATCCAGAAAACAGGATATACTGCCATGGTGTGAGGGTTAGATTTGCACAGCAGGAGACGAAGGAGGTTTTCTGAAAAGAGATAAAGAGTGAAAAGCTAATCGTAAGTGTGCACATAATCTCACTTTTCTAAGGCTGTCATTTCTGCCTGACATTGCTCTCCGCACCGAACTCTGACCTGACATGTCCCTTTTATAAGATCTGACATTTAAAGACCTGTAACACAACAGTCTTTCCATAATCAAAAGCCCCAATGACCTCTAAATGCATCATTATGAGATTAAACCAGAGAGCACTCCAAGAGCACAAACTGTTCCCTCTACAAGGCTGCTGCACGGCCTTTTATATTTAGCCCTCTGGATCAAAGTCTAATATTAGAAAGTCCTTTTTCTTTCAAAGAAACAACTAAGTCTGAGGTGGAAGGCCTTACCACGAGTTGCTGAAAAGAAAAGCCGAAAATGTGATGTGATGTTATCTAAGGCTGTTACGACAACATGAAGAGCCAAAACCAATTTAACCTGCGTGATCAGATAGACACGACAATTATAGAAACATTTGACTGTAGTTAAACATCTCACATGTAATGCTGCATTAAATTGTTACACGTCTAGTGCTTTTGTCAGCCCACTCACCCAATATGACCACCAGCTGTATGTGTGTTGCATGTTTATCATATGGGCTTACAACAATGCCACAATGGCATTCTGCATTGCAAACACTCAATCTGAATACAGTCCTGTCAAGAGCCACAATTTGGACGCCAGTAAAATCCTTCCTCCTCGTCAAAACTGTACTCTTATTTTGAATATCTATGACGCGGTTAATTCTGTTCATAACACCTAATATACAAGTCTTTCTAAGAGACACTCCCACTTTAAATACCAGGATTCCTGTTCTTAGCAATCACTACTATAGTTTGGATATCCAAAATTGGACTTCCGATATTAAAAATGTCTAAAGTTGGACTCTTCCCAATAAGAACTCTTTAAAGTAAGAATGTTATCTGATATTGAAAGAATAAGCATGAATATCAAAAGTGGCGTAATGTCTCCTTGCAAAAATGACACCATGGATTCCTGGAATGAGCGCTGTGTATAGAAAAATGTTGCTCAGTACATTTATTGCATTAGTCTGACTGATAGTGAACTTTTAGCTTTTAGTCTTTTAGTTCGACTTAGACCGCTCCTAATCAAGTTTTTCAGTGTAGATAATGTTGTTGGTGATCGACCTCTCCGTGAGACTCAAACTAGCCTTAAAGGTTCTACATCTGCTCTACAGTTTGCACATTGAGCTTTGGAAGTAGTAGTTGAATAGCATAAACATGTTGTAAGAATCTAGGTGGTGTACAAACCTCGACAGAAGAAGACAGGATGGAAAAAAGATGAAGCTATAATGTCAAAAAAATAGGGTGACCATATTCTGACTTTCCAAAAAGAGGACACGACTACTTGGGGGCGGAGTCAAGGAGTCGTACAAAATTAATTTTGAGAGCTTTTCGGGTCGGATCGAGCGTCTTTTATGTGCTTCTAACTCAAAACTTAAGTACAAAACCGCAGACATGTGAAGGATTTTATAAACTTCCTCGGACAAGGCCGGACAGCCTGAACAGCCCCCCAAAAAGAGGACATGTCCGGGTAAAAGAGGACATATGCTCACCCTATCATACAACTCCTCAGCCACTTGCTTACGCATTTGTCGATTGTTTTGGTAAGCTACATAATAGGTCAGCTCATTGGGACATATTACCACCTCCTGTAGAGGACATGGTCATACTTCAGTCCATAAATCGATTCTCTGTTTTTGCTGTAGACTAGCATGACAACCGTAGTCCATTTCAATCACCTGACTGAGCTACCTGAAGTCCAGCTTTCTTCTCATGGCATGAAAGACAACAAGTCCCACCATTGTGAACTTTTCTATAAAAAAAAAAACTTTGCGTGACAACTTGTGTAACTCAAAAAAAAATCTGCTGTCAAAATTTGATCACAACTCCAAAAATAAAATGCAACCCAGGTCACCAGCTTCAAAGAACAGCTCCTGCTCATATGGAGTCTTCAAATACGTCAGAGCTGGTTTTTGAACTCACAAAACAGTATTCATGAAAAGAGGAGTTGGTGAAAGGCTCATTGTTTACACGACAAGGTGGAGGTGTTACATCCTGATCTGACAAGGTGAACTTTTATATTCAGGCCAAAAAAGTATCAAACCTCTCCGCCTGGTTTAATCCTGACAGAGAGAGAAGACAAATAGTGCTTTTAAAAAGTTTGAAAGCATGACATGAAAAAAATTAGCCCACAGCTTTCATTAATGAAAGATTGAATTGCCTGGAATTAGTTTCGTCAAGGATACCGTGTCTCCATGACAGACGAAGATCCTATCAGAGAAGGACAAGAGGATGCATGCGAGGGTTTATTCTGAGTTTGAAGAGTTCGATTGAAGTGCTTCTGCAGTTGACCTCGCTTTGATGCCGCGCACTGCTGCTCAGGTCTGGAGGACAGTGGATGTGTGTCACCTCTCTGGAGGCTGATTTTTGGGTGGGTGGGATTTGGGGGGGCTGCTGCTGATGTTCTGTTGACAGTGTGTTCAGAAAAAAGGCAGCTGGGAATGCAGAGCCAGCGCTCCTCTGTGTCTCGCTAATCAGGCCTGTCCTGTTGTTAGCCGCTACCAGCCACAACCGCCTCGATTCTCTCACGCAGCTGAACTTCAGACAAGCCGTGCTTTAAGTGGATAAAATGTAGCGCAGGGACTCCCCTTATTCACTTGATGGCATATGTGTCATGTGACCAATATCAATTTATCATCAGTTTTATTTTTTAAATACAGTCAATTAAAGTAATTTGAAGATGATGCTGAAAAAGTGCAAGTATTTTTGTTTGTATGCCTACCCAATATTCTGTTCCCTTTAAAACTCCTATTCATATTTTTTTTTACATCAATGAAATAGACTGAAATTCCTATTGATGATTTTTTATGACATACAAAAGGAAATATGACCATTAGAGACAAGATTTATGATATTTATTTTGTACTTTTTCATGTCTGAAAGTCGTGCAAGGGAGGTAGGTGTCAGCCGAGAAGCTGAAGAAACCAGCCTGCACTTTTTCCACATAGCATAATTGAAAAAGTGTCCATCACAAATCAGCAAGATGAGATTTTTCTAAGAGGACAAGAAATGCGAAGACTGCTTTTTCTATATGGGGCACCAAAATGGATAAAAACCCAAAGGTCCTAACAGAAGCTTTGAGACATTGATGTCACTTTCTCCTTACTCAAATTTTCCATGTTGACCTAGCCAAGACTTAAGACCTACGGTAATATTAATCAGATGTGATTTTATCCTAACGATGAGATGTTGCTCCACTTAACTGTGCGTGGAAACATACCTACTGTGTCAGGTTAGCGATAAGTGAGGCACCAGTTCGTGTCATAACTTGACCGACAGATATCACAGACTATACGACGGTACCTCATAAATCATCATGGCTGATGCAGTGATATTGGAGGATACAGAGGCTGGGCCAGACGAGCTGGCAGCTTAGCCTGGTAGTTAATCACCAGGTTGCTGAAGTGTGTCTACAACCCCTCACCAGTCTCTTGACGACTCATCGTATAGGCTGGGATGTTCAAACTTTTCCACGGTGTCGTAGTTCCTGTGGATTGCTTTGCCATTTTATTGATGTATTGTGACTTTTGTGCGTAACACACTCTGCACTCTCAATGGTTTATGTCCCAAATGCAAGTGAAGAAGGTTGTGAGGCATCTCAGATTTGGCTTTGTCATTCACTTTAAAACTAGGGGTGGGATTCACTAGTGGCCCCATGATACGATATTATCACGATACTTGGGTTACGATACAATATAATTGCGTTTTTAAACGTTTTGTGATACAGTGAGTACTGCGATACCATATTTAGCATTTCTCTTTCCCTAATGTTTGTCATTATTTTATTTTCATGTAGTACGTCTTTCGAACCTCATGTCAAGTCCATCTCATTTCTGCCCTGCTTGCATTTCCAACATCCTTCCCCAGGAGCTGCCATGTTTGTTTCTCCAACTTTCACCTGCTCTATGATGTCGGCTCTTCCGTCCTCATTGGACAAAGAATTGATTACATTTTTCCAATATCATAGACTTGAGTCCATATTAATTAATTTGAAAAAAATTTGATACTTAGGGGATGAGACGATATGGTACATCATCAGACAAAATATCGCGATACTATGCCATATCGATTTTTTCTCCCACCCCTGATTTAAGATGATTAGTTTTCAGGGCCGGTGGGTCACAACACCCGTGTCTACTGTACCAGGCTGTAATCATGCTTATGACCTTTGCATTAGACCTCTTCATAGCTCCAGTTAAAAACCCAAGGGAGAGATTTTTAGAGGAGTACACCTTTAACCACTGAGACAGTTTGAAGTCGCTGCTGTAGACGGGGTAATCAGACAAGGAGGCCTTGCCAGGCAGAGTCAGGAGCCTTGAAGGAGTGTAATCTAATCTGTGGCGGGTTGGAAGGATGTTCTGCCAGTCAGCCACTCTCTTATTAGGACATGTGGGACCAGCTGTTTGTGTATGTTTGTTCCTTCAACTCGCTTAACGCATGAGAAGAGCGATTAAATTCTTGTTTAGATGCAAAACACAGAGGTATGCAAGTGCATGCGATTCCGTGCGCTCAAGCCAACAGCACCTGAGCGCTACTCTGAAAACACAACTTAGCAGGAGGAGAGTGCGTAACCACACTCTTTTGGCAATGTCATGTCTCTCCAGGCTGCGGTTCACTGGTCCTCTTGCCTTCCTCCTGGTTGTCAGACCTCCAGGCTTCTGTTAATGATAGCAGCGCAGGTCATCAGTCAGACTTCACTTCACTCTGCCGGCCTTTCTGCTGAGTAGCTGCTCGGCTGCTCCAGTGAGCGTGTTAGCACTTGCTGACCTGACTTCACATGTCAGCTATTCATCCCGATTGTTCCGACTTGGTATCACAAGCAGAAACTCCGGGTCTCAATTTATAACTTCTTTCTTTCCTTCCTTCCTGTACAAGTTTCCCACTAGAGCCTACAAGTTGTTCAAGTGCCCAAAGTTCATAAAACTTTCATTTGATATAAATGAGCGTACAAATCTTGAGGACTAACAATCGGTGACAGCAGTGATATGGAACAACAATACAGCAGGAATCAGTCACAGAGTATGAACATGTTGGCGGTGCGAAGTTTTATGGAGGTTCTTTGGCAGCACAAACTCAACCCTGACTCATCAAATATAATCTTTAGGCTTCAGAATATTACACTTCGGTTACCTCCTTAACTGCAGCTATGAGGGCTGACAATGTCCATGCAATGTGTAATCACACCCCAAAATATTTCACTTTTTGGCTTTTACATGTGCAACAGTAATCAACATATAGCTGACAGTAGTTGCATTCTTGTTTTTGCTGCTCACAAATGATAGCTCTTGCAAAATGAGATTAAGGTGAAATCAGGGAAAAAGCACAACTTGTGTTGCAACAAATGCAAGGGTGCACATCCTTGCAGGGGTGAATCCAAAGGGGTGCTGGAGGTGGCACAGGCCTGATCTGAAATATAATTCTTCATCCATGGTTGTTTTCCTTGCAGCTTTCTGTAAATAGACGAGATTTGAGAGTTTGTGTCAAAACAAACTACCTGGTCTATGATACAGAACGCTGCAAAGTAGCTTTCTTTGCATTCAAATGAAAAACACACCAAACACAAGTAAAATCATTCGCGCGAATGAATTACATGTTAAGTCAATGCAAAGACGTGATTAGACGCTCGTATGGCGCGAATGACGCGAATTGGGCGGGAGCTGAAAAGGTCTCAACTTGGCAAGCAGCACGAAGGTTGCCAGGTGATGTATGAAAACGGACGGTCGTTCACTGGTATCTAAAATGGAGGACAAACTGATCTTGTCAGTGTGTGAGTGCTCCGAATTATATGATCCCTTTTCTTTCAATTACCTAAACCGGGATAAAAAGGAGCTCATCTGAAGGTAAGTGAGTGAGAAGGTCGGATTATGGGGTAAATTGTAAAAAAAACCCAACTTTGTCTATCACTTGATCCCGCTGGTTGAATTGGCAGGGATTTCCGTTGAAATAACTGTTGACACGCGATTATAGCGAGCAAATCTTATTTATTCATATGTCTAGATTCGCGCGAATTAAGCGAGTAGATGATTTTACTCGCGCTTGGTGTGAGCACTCCATTAGAGGTGCCAAATCCCTAACATCTAGAGTGACGTGCGTGTAAATTCAAAAGTACAGATGTTTTTATGTTTCATTTGTCCAAGTCGTCCTGGAGTCCTGCGGTTGCAACCATTATCCCTAGCTGGCAGTGCATTCAAAGACCATCCAATATTCAAGATCAGACAGAGAAATGTTGGAATAACCACATTACACAATGAGGGAAAAGACAAACATGTAAGTGACTTTGAGATTTGGCCTTAACTGCTGCTGTTTTTGTTTTTGTTCACATCTGCAGATAATTGATCACACAGATAGAAGAATGTGGGCTCGCATTTGACAGACACCCTTGATTGCATCCACACAAACATGCACATTTACAATAGTGCATGCAGACATGAACACACACACATAAACACATGTGCAACAACTATTCTCCCCCCTGACACACACAGACACACAGATCCAACACACTGTACACATTTTCCAGAGAGCTCCCCTCTGACGCCGGCTGAAAATAGCTCCCTCTCGTCGGTGTGTGAAGTGTCCGGGCTCTCACAGCTGATTGTGTGGCCCGCAGAGAAACAGTGTGAGGCTGTGGGATGTGACAAGAGCGCCGCCGTGGGTGGAAACTTCTCTTAAAGGAAAATTCCACCCACTAATCCTCTCAGATATCATCAAGTGTTGGAGCTCAACTCTCTTGGAGTTCACTCTCAGCTGTGGGCTGCACGTGGGTAAAGTTCAGTTTGTGTTGACTTTTATCTGCACTGAAGAACCGAACACTGAAAGCAGTACTTGCAGCTCGAAAATAATCATCTTTAAGAATTAACATTTGTCCAAAAGATGGTCTGTTTATGGAGAAAATCTACATGCATACAGAGAATTAAGAGGATATACTTAAAGCACAAAAAGTCTGTGCATTTGTGCATGGATTTTATGTGTGTATTTTGTCATCATGCGTGTACTTCAGAGGGTCTTTGTCTTTTAGCCTTTATTTTCAGCCTGTGAACACTGATATCACAGCATGCATCTGTTATGAAACCCTGCGGGGGCGTAAAGCCTGCAAACACGACAAAAAATCACCACAAAGCAGAACTGTCCCTCTGTTTTACAGCAACAGTTAGCGGCGGTATCATTAGCATTGTTGCTAAAGCGTGAGAACTTCCGTCCGGTGTGTGTTTGTTTGTGTGCGTGTTGTCCTCCATCATCCGAACTCGCCTGCCTTTCATCTTCCTGTTCTCACGCCTGTCAGGACTTCCTGCTCACACCCAGCTGGCCCCGCCCTCCCCTCTGCATGGCTGACAGCCCGCCCGCTCGCTGTCACTGCAGGGTGCACGTCCTTCCCTTTAATCGTCTCGGCCCCTTTAATTGGAGTGTGTGTTTAGGATGTCCTCTTCCATTATACACTCGGAAACTGGTTTTATGTACTCAGTGTGGTGTCTTTTATTGTGAAAGGTGGTGAGTGTGTTTGTACACAGTGTGGGAGGTAAAACAAAAGAGAGTTTGACTTCGGTGGGTAACCAAGGCAGTCTGCTGTAAGTAAATGTAGTGAGTATAATTAACTACAAACATGTTTCTGATGCGGGCGTTGATTTACAGCTCAATAAATGCCAAGAATGATGTTCGGTTAAACTTCAGGTCCATGATGTGACATAACTCTGCATCTTTGCTGGATGAAGTTTTAGGAGTTTTCATGTATAAACTTAGAGCTCTAAAGAGAGAAGTCGCTGCTGATGCTACAAAACCTCCGTCAATTGATTTTCAGGGTTCCTACGCAAGTCTGGAAAAGTATGGAAGTAATTTGATCAATTTCTAGACGTTAAATGAAAAATAAAGTGTGGAAAAATGTTTAGGTTTCCAGACTATTACCACAGTAAGAAAATATACTGATTTCTAAAACAGAAAAAAAGGTATTTTTTCAAAAATAATTCTAAAAAGTAGGGTATGGAAAAGTACGGAAATTCCAACTGTGTAGGAACCCTGGATTTTACGTTTGCTTTTTCAACACTGCATCGAATAAAAGCAAGTATGAGACGTACAATTCAATTCAAAAGCAAAACTTAACCGAAGGGAAGTGCCATAGGACAACTTTTGCAACCTAGCAACAGTAAGCACCAGGAAGAAGGATTCAGAAAATGAGGTTTTAAGTGTTGCGGATGCATCAAATGCTGTTAGTGGACACAGGCCCTAATTCCTTGACATAAACTATCAGTTATAAAAGTTTGTCGGTTCCTCTTCTTTGTCAATGGGGCTTTAAGAATAATTCAATCAGTGCTGTGGTTGAGAATTAATCGTTTTCACTCTATACGTTAAGTAGTATGGCATGTGCACATGGAAGGGCAGGAAGCTCCTCTAAATTCAGGCCATATAAATTAGAAGTTAGGATGATACCTAGCTTTAATTGGTTGTTGTTTGCACTTGCACTGTGATCTCTACCTCTTGATATCATCCTAAAAAAAATCAAACATTAACAGGAGTGTCCATGTGAGACTAGATAAAACCTCAATGTAGTCTTAGAGGTCATAATACTTGACTCTAAGAATGCAGGTTATCCGAATGCTGCACAATAATATGATTCTTATAATTCGGATTTGTAGCTTCTGTTTTCAGCCATTTTATCACCTCCTGTCTTTTTTCTGCTCTGTGAGAAACTGGGAACATGACTCATTGTTCTGAAGGTGAGAAAATGATGAGACATATCTGGAAGTTCACAAACAGGGCTGCAGCTCCCACATGCTTTTCAGTCTATTGAACGTCTTCATGCGGGCTGACTCCGCTTTATTGCTCCTCTGTGTGACCCTGCTGTAGTTTGGAGGGGCCGAGGCTATCATTAGCGGGACCTTTGGCCCTCCTCTTCACTCTGCAGCCCAGCAGCCCAGCTGGTCCCACACTCCCTCATTAGCCTCAGTCCACCTCGTCTCCACTTTACCTGCTGGTCGTGTTACTTACCCTCCTCTTATCACAAACACCATGTAAGTGGCTCTCTTAACCTCGCCCCCCTCCCCCGCCCCCTCCAATCTTAATCTGTCTAATGTGTGTGTAAATAACGCTTGCATGGTCCAGATAGCTTTTGTTTTACCATCAAACAAGCCCCGACCATGGGAACCTGGTCATTAATTACCGTGTGATTCATGGTTATGGCTCTGTGTCTCGTCTCGCCACTAGTCTGTCATTAAGACTTTCCCAGACTTCCCATCCTGGCCTCTCCCAGCTAACAGCTCACCCACACCAGCACTCAGCAAAATCATCACCACCAACTCACACACACACGATATCAGCACCTTCTCTTCCACCAGGAAACACACACTTGTTTTCTTCACATATTACAACATCATGATTAACCCAAGAAAAGAAACATGAAACTGGGTCATCTCTGCGGACAAACAGTCGGACTCTGCAGTGAATTAGTGCACAGGCTGAAAAGACAAATGCAGCGAGATTGTCGAAGATCAACAATTTAACAAATTTTTTTACACAATGAACTATTAATGAAATTACATATTTGGTTACGCAACCAGTTGCAAAACACATAACTATGGTTAAGCCTATGTGGATAAACCAATGTGGTGCTTTTCTTTGTCCCATTCTCCCGTTTAGCAGTCAGGGTTCTGTGGGCTTGGTCCAGCTCAGGGGGGGACTGAAGGGTCTGGTCATAGAGTACTTCAACCAGGAGATCGGAGAAGAAACTTGTTGGTCTGGGCCCTTCAATTGATTCTGGCAGGCTGGTTATTCTGATGTTGTTTCTGCGGCTGCGGCTCTCAAGATCGGCGGTCTTTACTTTTAGCTTGGCGGTACTGTCTGCTAATTCTGCACACCACTCCTCCACTTCTTGGATCCAGTGAATCCATTCGTTGACCATGCTCTGTCACCGTTTCCTGGATTTTGTCGAATGCAATGCTAGCTATATGGTCTTCTAACAGGCTAGCTATGCTAACAAGCGAGGTATTATCATCAGTCGCTGACGCTGTAGCGTGGGCTTGTGTTTTTTTCAACGCTTTTGTTGCTTTTGACATGCTGTAAAATATGTAGAAGGTTATATTTTACTCGAAGCAAGCAGGGTTTGAAGACAATAAATACTTTTTATAGTAGTTGCTGCAGGAGCTGGAGGACGCGCTTCCTTCACATGTGACCCCAAACAGAAAAATCTCAGTTTCCCAATGTGGCGCTCTTCAACCAAAGATCGGGTTTTGATTTATAAGGATCACAACAGAATTTCCTGTCCTACACATGACTGTTGTGTCTGTGTTAGCCCTGTTTCTAAATGAATAGGTGTGGCAAAACAGGGTTGCGTTAATGTGGGTCAGCATGATATTTGTTTATCGGTGTTTGTCCTTGTGCTCCTGCAAAGTAATAACCCCACAGGGACACAGTTTACACCTGGCTACAACACAGCCATAACCACTTGTACCTCAGGTGTAACTATGCTGTAGTCACGCTGTAACCCCCACTACACTTCTGCTGTTACGACATTGTACCCCAGTGGTGGCCCAGCTGTAGCCCTTCTCTCACCCTGCTATTGCATCTGCTGTTACCAAGCTGCAACACTGCTGCAACCAGCTGCACCCCACTTCAACACTGCTGCACCTCCACCGTGTAAAATCACATACTTGGGGACTGATATTCGTCCATTTTAGGGTTCAATGTGACGGCTGAGGGATGGCAGACGTCCATAATACTGATCCGATGTCTTACCTATTATAATTATTAAATACAGGGGTAGAATTTCAGCCGCAGTCTCAGTTTTATTCAACATTCCCAATACGCAGAATGAGCCGCATTGTTGCTGCAATGCAGTCTCTCAGTCTCACTA